GTTAACATGAAATTGAATCTAAGCATGAGGTAATCCATTCACCTAGGGTTAGGGATTTTGATTCTTGTTTTGAATTATGAGGAATGTGTTTTGTTCAATCTATACGAGTTGTGTGAATTATATGGTTAGTTGATTGATCACCATTCTAACCTAGTTAATTGACGTTTAGAACCGAGAGGGGAGACGTCGGTCGATTTAGGCTCGTATAGAGTAGACATGTTCGTAAAAGTATTGTCTATGTGTTGCCTGTTTGAATGAATTTATCGTTTATGTTTGTGCTCTTGTTACGAAGAGTTATTGAGCATAGTCCTCTAGACGTGTAGGCTTGTTTAATCTCGTAACCGAACAAATTAGCGTTCAACATAGTTTAAGACTTGATGAGATTTCCCGACCCCTAGAACTTCTTCTTTTTCTCTAGAAATTTAATTGCTATTTCTTTAAATTGCTTTTCTAGTTCTAGCTTGTTTTAGTTGATTCCCCAAATCAATCGTGATTAGAGTGTTTAATACTTATTTTCTTTTCGTGTGTGATCAAGACCAACGCTAAATTCCGAACAGTCTTCCTCGAGAGATCGACTCGGGTAACGAATCCTTCGATTCGGTACACGATAAAAAAATAAAATAATTTGCTACAACAAATTTGGCGCCGTTGCCGGGGAAGGCAAGTAGGATATTTGGTTTTGGTATCGGTTTTATTTTTCGTGTTTCTCTTATTCTTGTGATATTTACTTAATTTTTGTGTTTCTTTTGATTATTTGTTTATTTGATATATCTCTTGCTTTTGAAGTTTGTGTTGTTGTGAATATCGTTCCGTGTTCGTTTGTTTTTGTTTTTGCCTCGTGTGCCTTTGGTTGTTTTGTTTTTGTTCTTGTGCGAGGTATTTGCTTGAAGAATTCCAATGAATCCATATGATTATTCCTATGCCGGAAATTTGTCTTGTGGATACCCCGACAATTATCAAGGGGAGATGTATTCGTATGGAGGGCCGCCCAATCTATATCCGAGCCATTCAAATCATTATTACTATCACGGATACACCACATCCCAAGGGTATGGCCCGAGCCATTCTTACCCGACGTCTCAAGGAGGATATGGTTATTACGCTCCGAATCAATACGAGTCGCCTTATTACCAACCGCCATCTTCCTACGACTACTACCCTCCGCCTCCCGCATATTTCGATTCAGTACCTCCACCCGAGCCAACTCAAGTAGCTTCTCCGAGCCGTATAGACGAGATTTTTGAGAAAATGGAGAAGTTAAATCAATCCTTTCTATCCATTTGTAATTCGAAGGTGTCCCCATCCGAAAAAGAAGACGCCGAGTCTTACACTCTACCACCTCCTATCTACGAGAACCAATCGGTTGACCAACCTTGTGCATTGAGAACCGAGACTTCAAGTCAAACAAGGGTTGTTCCTACCGACGATCACCAAGAGGTTTTGGCAAATACTCGAGACATGCTCGCGAACCTCCTGTCGGTTGTAGAGGAGTTTAACAATTGTGGGATCATTCCCATTCCATCCGGTCTCCAAAATCAACTAACGGAATTCGACTTAACCGTAGTTACCTTCCTCGACTTGGACACATCTCACATCCCGCTTGGTAGATATGCTTCTCTATCGGCGGAGGTTTGTCGAGAAGGCGCACGGTTGGAGGGCGAGTTTCGAACATTGGTGGATATGATTGCATCCTTCAATGAGATTGAGTGTATGTACTCGGAGGCCGACACGGTGCATGGCATGGGGGATAATTCAAGAGAGGATTTGATTGTGGCGAGTGTTGTTGAAGGAGCTCGGGAGGACACTTATGAGGAGGAGGAGGAGGAGAAGGTAGTCCATTGTTACGAGGATGAGGTTGATGAAGAGGTCGAGTCATCATATGAGGTTATTGAACCAAATTGTGCATTGATAGGTGACTCGGTTCGAGATGTTGAGTATGAAGTGGCTTCCATGTCCTTTGGGTCGTCATCGCATGCTGTTGAGGATTGTGAGCATTTAGAGGAGTCGAGTGCGTTTACGCACATGCTCCCGACACTTGAAGTTGAAGAGTACACATTCGAGATGGCATTGGTGAAAGCCGAGATCGATTCGACATGCTCCACGGATATGTTCATATTTCCGGAGGTCGATTATGGGGCTTGGATTCGTAATGCTTTATCTCTCCTCTTGGTAGTTGTTGATGTCCGTGCTCTGCATCATAAGAACGTGGGCACGAGGGTTTTACTCTTTGCCCGCCTTTGTTCCGAACTACCATCGGGACTATTATTGGAGAACACGAAGGCATGGCACGATCGTCACTTCTTTCTGGACCCTGGTTGAGGTGTACACAGGTTTCGTCAAGCTAATGACGTTAAACAAGCGCTTCTTGGGAGGCAACCCAAGCGATTTACTGCTTTCTAGATATTTTTCTTTATGCTCTTTTATTTTATCTTTGAATAATGGGAGTTTTGGAGTTCTGTGTTTTTCTTGGCAGGTACGAGTTTGCGAGCTTGAGCAGGAGGAATATCGAGGTTTTGGGCTGAGCATAAGCTAGCGGCTTGGACGTGGATGCTTATCCTCCTCGAGGCATCTTCGGTTTGCACACCCTCTTCCTTTTATCCTTTTTGAGTTGTTTTTTCTCTTGTCTTTTCTTTTAAGTTTGTGTCTTGTGATAGCTGCTAGTTTGGTTGATTATGTGAAATTGTTTTGTCCTTGTATTTGACTTCCTGTTTTGAGTTAAAGCAATGAGGACATTGCCTCATTTTAAGTGTGGGGGAGGTTACGTGGATTTTGCATGCTTATGTGGTGGACCGGTCTAGTGTAGGTTTTGTGTATTTTTGTGAGTATGGACTTTGGAAATTTCAAGATTAGTTAAGACTTGTTTGATGAATTCGATGAGTTGTGATGTTGGTCATATGAGGCATAGCGTGATGAAATGCTTGGTCGATTACTTTGATTGGTATTCATATATCTACCTAGTGAGGTTTGAGCCTTATTTGTTTTTCTTGAGATATATTGGTCGTGCTCTTGTTTGATTAGAACTTGCCCTGAGTCTGCATTGAAATAAATTGATTAGAATTGTGAACTGTGTATATGATTAAGGCGTTTATTGTATTCTATCCTTTTCTTTCTCTACAAATTATTCCCTAGTCTCCCCTTTTGAGCCTTATTTGATTTTTGTTGATAACCTCGTGATGATGACGTTGTTGGAGTTGCGGGTTAAGAATTGGAGGGGATGGTTGTTGGAGTTGTTTGTTGGAATTGTGTTCATGTTCTTCATCCCAAAAAAAAAATGACCAAAAAAGGTCGCACATTAAAAAAAATCGAAAGAAAAAAAAGAGAAAAAAAAATGTAGCCGAATGGATTATAAAATATCCAATAAGGTTTACACAAAAAAAAAAAAAAAAAAAATGAAATAAGATGGGTGAAACGTGTGGTTTTAGAAAAAGTGTGGGGGAAGATCCGGTATGTTTGTGCAACCGGTTGAGTGCATCATTCTTGGGGTAAGGTGTTTGAGTTATGTAATGAATTCGAGCCACTTAGCCTATATTTATCCTACCTAACCAAAGAGCCTACGTTACAACCTTGAAAGACCTTTTGATGCACTAGTTTCGATTTTGATTGGTTTAGAGTAGAAGTTAGACAATGGGCAAGCATATGATTGAACTTGTTATCGACCAATTTGAGTGCACCCATCTTTATCTGTATAAGAATTCGAGTGAGGCACACATATATATTCCCATACTGAGAGAACGCCATGTTGAGGTATAGTGATCAAGCATGTAGTTGTGTGATGCTCGTATATGCCATTTGAATGCTCATTGTTGAAGTTGAACATGTTGAGGCTATCTTGTTAATGACTGTTGACCATGCTCGGTTTTAGTTTTTTTATCGTTTCTTTTCTTTTCTTTTCTTTTTGTTCGGGACGAACAAAGGTTTAAGTGTGGGGGAGTTGTTTGTCCTATTTTTGTTGCGTTTTTCGTGTTTATTTTATCTTTCTTTTTCCCCCATTTTAGGTCCTTTCTTTAGTTTTTAGTCCGTTTCATGTTTTATTATGTGTTTTCCTTCATCTTGAGTCTTTAGGTGTTTTTCATTTGTTTTTCCGGTTTTCTTTTGTGTTTTGTCGTTTTTGGTGTGTAGGTCAGGAGCTTCGAGCGAATTTTCTCTTCAAGAAAAGCTGGTTTTGAGAGCACAATTGGATAGATGGGTTTGTTAGTGACACGTAGCAAAAAACGGAACTCAATTCCGAGTTCGGATGAGCCCAAACGAGCCCGAAACGTAAAATGGCGCAGTGCAGTCCAAAGTCGCGAGTCGCGAGAGAAAAGTCGCGACTCGCGAGCCTACGTCGCGACTCGCGAGAGCAAAGTCGCGACTCGCGACTAAAACAGAGCCTCCGACCAGCTGCGCGACCCCACGACCCGTCCGACTCGCGACTCGCGAGTCAACTCGCGAGTCGCGACCTGTTCGACCCTGTTTTTATTTTTCTCCGTTTTTACTCGTTTTAGCTCCGTTTTTCGAGCTCTATATATGAAAACGAACCCCCAGACCTAAGGAACAATCCCCAATATCGTTCCTTTCAATTTTTCTCTCCAAAAACTCAATATTGTTAGGATAAATTTCTCCGCTTTTTTTTTTTTTCTCTCATGCTTGGATTGTTGGACACAAAGTTATTTGGATTGAAATCTTGCAACTCTTAATCCGATTGTAAGTTTTTCAATTCTATTTTATTATTGTTGATTGGTTTTATGTTCTTAATTCCGGTTAACATGAAATTGAATCTAAGCATGAGGTAATCCATTCACCTAGGGTTAGGGATTTTGATTCTTGTTTTGAATTATGAGGAATGTGTTTTGTTCAATCTATACGAGTTGTGTGAATTATATGGTTAGTTGATTGATCACCATTCTAACCTAGTTAATTGACGTTTAGAACCGAGAGGGGAGACGTCGGTCGATTTAGGCTCGTATAGAGTAGACATGTTCGTAAAAGTATTGTCTATGTGTTGCCTGTTTGAATGAATTTATCGTTTATGTTTGTGCTCTTGTTACGAAGAGTTATTGAGCATAGTCCTCTAGACGTGTAGGCTTGTTTAATCTCGTAACCGAACAAATTAGCGTTCAACATAGTTTAAGACTTGATGAGATTTCCCGACCCCTAGAACTTCTTCTTTTTCTCTAGAAATTTAATTGCTATTTCTTTAAATTGCTTTTCTAGTTCTAGCTTGTTTTAGTTGATTCCCCAAATCAATCGTGATTAGAGTGTTTAATACTTATTTTCTTTTCGTGTGTGATCAAGACCAACGCTAAATTCCGAACAGTCTTCCTCGAGAGATCGACTCGGGTAACGAATCCTTCGATTCGGTACACGATAAAAAAATAAAATAATTTGCTACAACAATGATTAAGCGGGAAATGAAATATTTATTCAAACATTTTTCCTTCTCCGTATTATATAGTAATAGATGCTTGTGAAGTGTGAACTTCACGGGTGTTTCATAAAAAACTAATTATCCAACAAAAAGTGAAAAAGAACTAAAATTCTTATTGTGAAATAAAAAAATAAATAACTACTAAGAAAGTATTTTTTTAAATATTATTTTGAATTCTACAAAAATATTTTATGAAGTATTATTTGTGTTATATATTATATACTTATTTTTATCAAAATTTAATAATTAATTTATCAATATAACGCCCTTGAATAACATGGGTGCTTGAAAATTAAATATTTCTATCAAAATAAAAAAGTGGAGAAATTTATATTATTATAATAGAATGGTAAAAAGTTAAATGATATTATAAGAGTCTTCCACTTAGGCTCAACGCATTCGAATGACCTGGAATAGATTTCAAGGCAGTACTGGCTCCTTTAAGCACTGGTGGTTCAACATTTGTTCACTTGATCATTCTGAAGTTGCTGAAGCAAGGATAGAACTTTCAACATATATCCTTTGGTGGCTTTGAAAATCAAGAATCCTATGGGCGTTTCAAAATTCCCTCATGCCAGAAGCAAAAGTGATAAAAGTGGCTCATTCAGACTGGACTCAATATGTAGCAGCTTCATGATTTAGTTTCAGTTTTTGTTTGTTCTATTTTGTATTCTCTATCTGAGATCAGTTACCTTGCTAGGCCTTTGGCAGTAGAAGGTAGTTGACTTCTTAGTATTAGTGTTTTTTCAGTTTTGTTGCTTTCAGTTTCTCTTGTTGAGGCTCTAGACCACTTTAGGGTGTGTCTCCCATTTTTTTCTTTGCGAATTATTTATGTATTCCGAACCATGTATTAGGACTATGTCCTCGTTGAGTTATATGATAACCTATCTGTCGTTTTGAAAAAAAAAAAGAACTAAATATACATTTCTTATGATCTAAATGTGCAAAATGAATGAACTAAATATGCATTATGTATTACATTAATTATATAATAAAATAATATTATATCATATTAATTATATACGAAATATTAAACAATAATATCAACTAATTGTGCATTATTTATTGACTAAATATGCACTACGTATGAATTAGATGAGCATTTTACATGAATTAAATATTGCAGCGAATATGCAATTAAATGTGTGTTTTATATATTTATATTAAATATAATAATTAATATTTTTATAATATAATTAATGTATATTTCAATTGATTAATATTATCCATTGATGTATACAAATAAATGGCTATTATTGGACCTCACATGAACTAAAAATGTACTATGATAAACTAAATATTCATTTTTATTACTTAAATATACGCAATAAATGAATTAAATGTGCATTATGAACTAAATATTCATTTCTTATTATCAATTAAGTATGCATTATTTATAATTAAAATATGGATTGTGTATTATCTAAATATGCAGAAGAAATAAAGTAATGTGCATTAATTATAAAATAAAAACTCAAGGGCCATATTACAATTAAACAAATTATAAATAAATTACAGAATGAACCTAAGGATCTAATTGCAATAACTCTTAAGTTTCTGAAATTTTTGAAATTGCACCTAAGTCCCCAGAAGCTATCTAATTTACAAAATTAATCCATGCCCCATATCTAATCTTTGCAGACACACGTTCTTCAATCGTCGCCCCAGACATCTCTGGCATTTGCCGATTTGGATCTGCCCACCGCCGCTAGAAGCCCAAATCCGACGAAAACCCAATCCGCGAGCCCAATCGCATGTTGTGGATAAAAAATATGGAGCAAAATCAATGAACAAAGCGACGACGAAAACTCATGGCGACGAAGAAAATCTGGGGCACAAGGACGCTGCGGACGGCAGAAGGCTGACGACGAGGCCTGGAAGACCGATTTTTGGAGCTTCCTCTGGAAGATGGCGACATCATTTCCGTTGAAGGAGAAACACCACAATTGGGAGGAGGCGGAGAGACGACGCAGATCTCAGAGCACGCGACCGACGACTAGAATAGGGATGGTTGCGGTAACAGAGACGACGACGACGACGAGGAAAGGCGTTTGATCATGATTAGGCCAGCCGCCGGCCACCGGTCATCAGTGTTGGCAGTTGGTCAACGGCCAACATATTTATTTATTATATAATTAAGTTAAATATAATAATTAATATTTTTTATTATTTAAAATAATGTATATTTCAATTGATTAATATGAGCCTTTGAAATACACAACCAATGGCTCGGATTAAGTCTCAAGTACTCATTTTAATAAGTGGACTCATTCGATCTACTTGATACACACACTGATGTAGGAAAGCGTACGAGTGGTACGATATTAATGAGATCACAATCTCAAGAACATCAAAACACGATAAACTCAATATTTCTTATTTCATATTCAACTGAATAACACAAGAGGACACAAGAGGAGGAGTCCTTTGAATAAGACTCCTAAACCCTACTCCTAACTTTTCCAACAAGACAAGATCTCCTACTAAATATTCTAATACCAATAATAAAAATAATAAATATTCTCTTACCATTAAATACTAAACATAAAAGGAATAATAATAAAAGGACCAATAATAAAAGAAAATAAATATCTATCATAAATTAATGATGCTAGACGATATCTCGTTTACATCATTCTCTCCCCGTTCGAGAGGATTCGCCCTCGAATCCCCACCTTGCGGCGTCATCCATTGTCCCACACACAAATGCCAATCTCAAATGGAATCAGCCTCCGCCAATCGATAACATTTGTCAACAAGACAAGTGGGAACAGAGTTGAGTCCCATTGAAGTTTTTTTACAGGGGAGCCCACTTCTTCCAAGCCTCCATTTTCGCCCACAGAATGTGTCAAATACAACATATCCAGAGCATATGAGCTAAGATTTCTGTTATGATGAGGATCACTTTTGCCAAAGCCCGAGAGATCATATGTGACTAACCGAACACTAAATTCTTCCAACAGCTGAATTTTGATACCCGGAACATGATGGAAATCCTCCTGCCCCAGAGGCTCCTCACTGAAAATCGGCGGACCGTCGTAGAGACTGTCCACTTTGCCGGTAAGACTCTCCTCCACCACCTCGTGTCCTTCATCAAACACCGGCGGACCGTCGTACAATGGCACGTCAACTTGCTCTCCTCGAATTTGGGGATGTCAACGAGAAATGGGCCCTCCTATCGACCATATTCGCAATCAAATTCCCAATCGCGTCTGGCACGATATCCACCGGCAAAGGCAGCCTCCTCGCGTCTGCATCTGGCATTGCGTTGATCGTCGCCGTCCACGTAGACTGGGCCCAGTCGCCGCATGTCACGGCTGCCGTATGCAGCGAAGGGGTTATTGAAATAAAGATCAAAACAAAATGAACATTGCATTGAAAGGAAAGATTGAATTTGTATCTGTGTGTTGAGAGAGAGAGAGAGAAAGAAGAGATGCGGCTATCGACTGAAAAATGAAAATACAACATATGAATGGAAAACCCTAAACAACATCTATTTATATGAATGACTAATGAACTAAAGATGCTAAACTGAAAACTAAAGTGCTATTTACAAAAGCGCACTTTCTATATTCTAATAAGGGTTAGCCTCGACGTGCGGGGGTGACAAATCGTCGAAGGGATTCACCTCCGAGACTGTCTCCTTGCCGTCTTCGTCCAGCGACGGTGGTTGTGGAGATCTCCAGCGGGTCGCCCCGCCTGGACCACGTCTTCCGTGAATTCCCCCGCGCACGCCCCGTTTGCCGGCGTCACGGTACGTTTTCTTGTCCCGTATGGTACTGATAGTTAGACATATGTCCTCGATTTCCGCGGACAGATCTGCAATATGATGACCCATCATCTTGAGCCGACGGCCAAACCACTCAGTTCGGCAGCTCAGATTGTAGATGGCAGCGACACGCCTGTCGTTTGCAGCATCTTGTCTTCGTGATAGCATCGAGAATCGTGTTGATTTCTGATACCAATACCAACTGATGTACCGCAACGTGAACCAAAGGGAGAAAAGATATAAAATCTCAAATTTCTGTAATATTATTCAATAAGCCCTTTTGCACGCGCGCGCGCACACACACACACATATATATATATAATAGTTTATTGTGTAGAATAAAGAGGACTTGGGGTGCTTAAGACGTTCATTTTCCACATTCATTCACGTACCACTTAGTCAATATGGGGATCTCTACAAACTTATTCATTCTAATCACTTGATATGATTACTATTGTATGTACAAGTCACTGGATCTTCGTCCAAATAAATTAATGGGCTGACGTGCCAATGGACTAGGTGCATGTGACAGTATGTTATCGGTTAAGATATATTCATGGCCTTCAAACAAAAATATATAATATTTACCGATGAACAAATGATTGCTCCTAGAGTCGCGCGACGGTACAAATCTTGGGGTATAAGTTAGCCTACGTGTTACAATATTATTATTCGTGTTTAGACATGTGTACATTAGTGGTGATGTCAATAATTATCTTGAGTAATTGTGTAATTTTCTCCATTCAGTGTTGTACACTCATCTATCATTCTACATTTTCAGGTTGAAGAGTTTGTGTGAGCTTCGAGGACAGAAGGGGTCACTCCTTGAAATAAATAGTATTGTTAAGTTTTTCTTAAACTATTTTGATTTCCTTGAAATAAATAGTATTGCTGAGATGGTGGTTGCCAGAGATTTCATACGATGGTTGTGGTGGATTGCTGAGATAGATATATCTCTAGTTTCTGAACTCTGAATTCAGCTTTCGACGTATATTCAATGGTGGCTTTGGAAGTCGCAAAATCTTTGGGTTTTTCAGAAGGTTTGGATTCCGGAGAGCATCATTGTGCAATCAGCTCTGAGGGAGTGGTCTAAATTCCAGAAGCTTTGTTGTAGTTTGTAGTTTTTGTTGCTTTAAGGCTAAGTTCTTATGTTAAGTGAAAATCTTTGAAGCTTTGTTGCAATATTTGTTGCTTTGAAGCTTTGAGCATCATTGTGCAATCTTTGAAGCTGTGTTGCTTTGAGGCTAGGTTCTTATGTGCAATCTTTGTTTGATTGTTTGTTTTGTGCGGGTCAAGTGTTCTTGTTTGTTGTGGCTTGTGTACTGAAGGGTTCAAATCGTTGTATTTGCCTCCTTGTAGGTTGGTGTTCTTAGGTCACCGTTGGTGTAGTTCTCTTGTGCTTTGTTTGTAAGAGCTGGTGTGCTCTCCGGTTGTTGAACTCTTCTACTTTTAATGAGATGTTTCTACCATTTTAAAATATATATATATATATATATATATTTCGATTTTCCTTTGTTGGAGACTAGACAAGATATTTTATGAACGGTTAGGAAGTATTAAGAAAAATATTCAAAATTTTAGTTATATTTTAATAATGTTCTTCAGTACCCTCATGTATAACAAATTTCATGACCACGGAGGCACCTTCTATAGACCATGTACTTGAACGAGCCCAAACGTAACTAACTTCACGATAATTGCCCTTCTGTAGACCATGTACTAGTACGAGCCCAATTGTAACTAACTTGCCGCTTGTATACAACATAATTGTTCGAGGACCTAAAGTTTACTCAGGTGCCAGCATAGTGACCGACTGCCTAGACTGATTTTTAAAATAATGAGATACTCCGTGTATTTCCCATAATAGTTATATTTAGAGCTTGCATAAGCTGCCAAGAATACAACTGATGATTTTGCATCCCAAACTATAGCTCCCCATCGGTAACCATTAGAGTAAACAAATCAGCACCCAAACAAACATGTGCAGAGATACATAGCTTGCTACTGGAAATCAAATTCACTATATATGTAAAATAACAAATGACAGGGAAATGAAGTTCTTTTTTTCTCTCTTGCTAGTCCGAAGGTTTATCTCTCGCCTTCACGACCGGAGGACAGGTGTGATAGGCAAGTCTTTTTCCCTAGAGTCAGAGGCATCCGCTGCCCTATTAGTCTGCAACATTAGTCCAATTATTGGTCCGTATTAGTGCAACTAGGAAGAAAGATTAGTCTCATAATGCCCGCTTCAAGCTGGGGTAGACGTTTACAATTACCGTTTGGGTCATCGAGTTTACCCAGGGTCGTCAGCCGGATAGCGCAAGGAATTGAATTCACAGTCCTTCCTTTTGAGCTGGGGATAATGGCTTTACGTAAGCCAAGGCGGTGCCGCTTCCACACAAGGTCGAGTCCCATTAAAAACCAGATTATTACGAGCTTTCCAAGACTACGATACGGTGTTGATCGACTAACGTCGGTATTCTCCTTCTCTGGATTTCTCCCCAAGATTGGATATATCGAAAACTGTAGTTTGTGAGGTCTCGTGGATGAATGATCAAACAAATCAGCACCCAAACAAACATGTGCAGAGATACATAGCTTGCTACTGGAAATCTAATTCACTATATATGTAAAATAACAAATGACAGGGAAATGAACACATCATACAAAAGCACAAACAAATGTCGGTTATGCACTCCATTCCTCGTTTGAAGAAATGAAGAACGCGCAACTATTGCACCACCGGTGCACCAAACAATTCTGGATGACTGAAAACTCTACACAATCTATCAAATGTCTCAACTCAAGCATCTACACAGCAATTCGCAAACAAAGAGCAAACCCACACTTACCTGTACGTTTTTGCTTCTAAAAAGAATAAAGAACGAAAAGGAATAAAAGAATCTGCAGCGCACGTTTCTTTATGTTGCCATGTCCAACTCCACATTCGATCCAGTATTAATCTCATCATCCAGTTCGGAAAATTTATCCGAACCCTCGCCAACAGATTCCCTCGACTTAAAATTCGGCAATTTACTTTTACCATCGCCGAAAACGACTGAACGAACATCGGCCAACCTACCAATTTCAAATCTCAAACTCGACACCCGTTTACCATCCTCCCCACACTTGTCTGACCCGTCATCATGGCCGTCCAACAACTCCCTCAAATTCCTCCTAAACCCCAAATCCGAGTACACTCTTCCTCCATTTCTCAACAGTCCCCCATTTTTCTCACCCCCATTATTATCAAGATTCTCGTTTTCCACCCTTCTCGTCTGAACTGGCCTCCCCATATTCTCAACCATCATACAAGGATTGGCCAAACCACTCCAAGAATGCAAAGGAACCAATTGACTCAGCTCAGCCAGGCACTCCACCACCTGCCTCATCGACGGCCTTCTATCTTTACACGGCCTCACGCATTTAGCGGCCAAAACACCCAACATTTTCCGAACAATATCATTCCTAGGTGGAAAAACCCTAAGATCATACACAGAAGACAATTTCCCTTTCTTTATCAGGGGAATAGCCCAATCGACTACCGAGGGAGGAGAATTACCCATGTCGAGAGCCTTTCTACCGCTAATGATCTCCAGAAGAAGTATTCCGAAACTGAATACGTCAGTCTTCGTGCTCAGATTATCGGGCGTCACGTAACACGGATCCAAATAACCCATTGTTCCAGCTGGAGGAGTCGATTTGAATCTGTGATCGTCCCCAATTCGCAAAGCCAAACCGAAATCGCCCAGTCTAGCATTGAAATTGCTGTCGATCAGAACATTTGCTGACTTGATATCACGGTGAATTACGGGTGGGTTTGAGGAATGCAGGGTTTCGATGGCTCTTGCGGTTTGCAACGCCAATTTTATCCTCCTTCCCCAGGAGAGGGGCCTAGGGTTCGAGTGCAAGACGTCAAATAAAGTTCCTCTGCTCATGAATTCAACCACCAGAAGGCGATCTCGTGATTCTTTCTTGGTGAACCCAACGAGATTGACGATTTTGGGGCTCTGGAGCTTGGATAAGATATCGATTTCATTTTCGAATTCGTTAGGGGTTTGGGAGGCGGAGGTTTTTTGTGAGGGTTTCTTGACGGCGACGAGGCGACCCCCGCGGAGAACGCCTTTATAGACGAGGCCATGGCTGCCGCGGCCGAGGAGCTTGGAATCGGAGAAATTGTTGGTGGCTAGCTCGAGATCTGTGTAGTTGAATTCCGTGATTTTGATGGGTTTTGTGTCGTCTCTTTTGTTCTTGGGCTGGGATGAGGATTTGGCATGGGAATCGGCAGTGGAGATCGATGATTGCGATGTACAGGAAAGATAATTCATCAGGATTCAAAAAGGTACCGTAAAACTGTATGAAATTGACGTTGAGCAAAATAATGAGAGAGAGAGAGAGATTATGGAAAATTGTAAAACGGGAGATTTTTGTCTAACTCAACCTAACCGATACGTATTCATTTACCAAATTTTCAGTAATCGAACAATCGGTACGATATTCAATTTTCTCGGTATTTACTGAAATATGTCTGTAGTTCATATTCACAATTTCTACAACCAGCTCTTATTCTCGGTTCTTACCATTCAAAGTCACTAAGAGAACATAATATTGAAAGGAAAAATCAAATTCCACAAATTAGAAATACAAAATTGGGAAGTCAAAAATCAAGAATAGCATGAAAATCAGGTTATTTTTGTCATTAGATATCAGATCTACAGTCCGAGTACACCCTGGCCGACAACTCATCGGAACCACAGTCGGGTTATCGAGCGTGAATCGCAGCTGCCCATCCTCATCCAAATAGAAGTCAGTCACGTTTGTTGTCGGTCCCGACAATACACGAAAACTACGACCGAACCTTTGTTACTCGTCAGCGATGTGGAATGTTGGGCTTGTTAGTCAATGAGTGTAAATTATTTGTTAACTAATATTCCTCTAATTGATTCTTATTCTTCCTAATATTCCATCAACTCTCAACCACTTAATTGTAAAGTCTCCTCAATCACTCGGCAGATGAGTATTGTCATCAAAATACATCCAACCAATTTATTTAATATGTGATGGATACTCTATAAAATGAGATCAGCTCATTTGAGGAAAAAGACGCAGAAAAAAGAAATAGAAGAGAAGAAAAGAGAGTAAAGGAAAGGAAGAGAGAGAATAAGTGGAAAGGAAGAAAAAAAAATTGAGAAAAGGAAAGAAAAAGAAAAAAAATATATATATATATATATATATAAATAATAGATATATATATTTATATTTTTTAGTGCTCAATTCTCAACTCCGTTCCAGTTCGCCGGAGCTCGTAAATCTGGTGTGCTACAGATTTAGAGACGTTTGCCGTTGTATCTTTGGGGAAGTTACGCCTTAACCGTTAGCTGCCACACGGGGCGTATTCTTCTTGCGGAAAGAGTATTACTCGCCTCGGCTAAAATCTTTCTGTTTTAATTTATTTTTATTTGTAATTTTTTTTTTTTCAGTTCAATTGTAATTTTCTATTTTTAGATTATTTGTAAGAACTGAAAAAAAAAAAAAA